GCGGCTCCTGCGCGTCCCGCCGGCGCTGCGCGCACCTGGCGCGGCCGCGGCGCCGCTCCCGCGCTCCTGGGTCTCGGCTCCCGCGGAGGCGGCGCGAGGCGCTCGGGCTGCGAAGCCTGCAGGCTGCTTGGCGCACGTCCAGTGTGTGGCTGGAGGAGGAGGAAGGTGCTGCTTCCCTCTACCTCTGGCTTCCCTCCGGTGAAACCTGCACCCAGCTGGGCGGAGGCCATAGGTAGCCGGCAAGCTGCAAGACCCGCAGCAGGCGCCTCAGGAGTTGGCCCTGTCCCTTGAGCAGAGAGCCGAGGACTTGCCCAGGTGGCCCCTGGATGTGGCGCCGCGCTCCTGACGCGCTTCCAGAACGTTCCCGGGCTCACGGCCCCTGCGCCGGCGGCTGGCGGCACGTGTGTCCCAAGAGGCTGGTTGGCCCTGCCTGAAGGCCTGGGCTGCGGCGGCCGGCAGAAAATGTTAAGAACATAGGGAAATGTTAAAACGTTCTCTGTGGTGCTTTTTGTGTTTTTAACGGTCTAGGGTTTAATTCTGCTCTGTGCACTCCACATCTTGGATTTCTTCTAGTTTTGCATTTCTTCTTAGAGATTTCACTAATTCTATTTTGTCCTGTTGCTGTTTAAAATTTTCTTCTTGACTCTGAGTCTATAATCTCCCTTCTCCTCCAAGCTTTGATGTGTCTTCATTTCTTGTCATAATTCCTTCTGCGCCCCATGTTTCTCTTCCTACCTACCCACCATTTTTTGCTTTCCTCTTGGTGGAGTCTCTTCTTGTTTGTAGACTCCTTCCAATGGAAGGATTTTTTTTTTTCCTTCCAATGGAAGGATTTTTTTTTCCTTCTTTCCCTTTCATGGGTCTTCAGCCGTTGGAGGTATTTGGTGCTGAAGAAGCGAGCGGTCCCGTCTTTGTCAGACCTTGTTCAACATCTGGTGCTTCTGCTTTCCTCGGTCATACTGAAGCAGCAGTTGATCTCCTTGATCTTGAGAAGTAAGAAAGAAAAGTCTTAATGACTTTCTCCAGTGCTCTATGTGGAACAGATTTAGGGCTCCTCTTAGTGGTAGGATTTTAATAGAGCACAAACAAATAAAACAACTTTAAACAAATATTTCTTAAAATGATTTCTAATACTGCTCTCATCCCAGAGATTATAGCGTACACAATTGTCCTTTCCTTTTCCAAACATATGATTTGAAGATGTTTTTGTTAAATTCACAATGTAAACAGTTGGAAAGGGAGGATTAATATTCTCCTACATTTCTCTGTTATGTTTATTGTAACTAATACTTTTAGTAGTATGAAGAAAGAGGGCACTGTCTTTGGGTGTGGACTAGCTCTCTTCAGAAGATTTAAACATTTGGATAAAGAATTGCTTGGTGTCAGTTTAGCAGCACGTTTGAGGTAAACAGTTGATTTTTCTAGTTTTCCTGGAAATGAAGAAAGATAACACATGAGAATAATATTGGAAGCCTGCTCTCCCTGCATGAAGTTGTTTCTGCTTAAAAGAAAATGATGCTAAACCAGTGCAACTAAGTGAACTAGAACCTTCGGTTGTCATTTATGTCAAAGTAGATTAAGTTTAAACCACTGTAAAAACAATAACATGCAGAGTTTTGCCTGTTAAGTTGTATTACTTCAGTGCAGTATGTTTGGATAAGCTGGTTTAGCATTGTGTACACAAATCAATTACATAGTTAGAAAGGTAATGTTAGAGTTAGGGGATCTCGAGGTAGATTCAGGAAATAGCAGCGTGTCTAGCCTGATGTAACCTTGGCCACCACAGCCTATGCAGGCTATAAATAGCAGGGGAATCAGATGTGGAACCTACTTATGAACTTTTATCTACCATCTGCCTCCCCAGATAGAATTTTGAGCAGATACTGTATTTAAAGGTTGTAAAACCAACAGTTTGTTTCTTTTGGTTCTTGCTATATGATATCCCTGTGTTGTTGGGGTTTTTTTTGTTTTTTTTTTTTAATTTGATACAGTTTGAAAAATAGTTCCTATTAAGTCTTAGCTAGGTGATCTACTACAAAGGAAATGTGACCGCTCATCATGCAGAATGGCTTTTGCGTTTCTTCAGGATGCCTAATGTAAACCTAAATATGGTTTGGTATTAGAGTAACTGTTACTGTGTCTTTCAGTAGTAGTTAAAGCTTAGAAAACAAAACAAGATTTTTTTTTTTTTTATTTGATGCCTTTATAGAAGGAAGGTAGCATATAGAGTAATAGGGCATGCTGGTTTGTTTTAGATACTTCGATTAATTCTCAATTTTTGAAGAAAGCATCATATTGTCACATCTCCTCTGATTACTGTGCAAGTTTCAGTGTTTCTGATTCTTATGTTAATGAGTAGTAGGTGACTTGGCCTGACTTAATAGAATCTAATTTTGATTTAGAAAATACCTCAGTTTCTCAAAGTTAAACCTATATCTGCTTGGGAGTGGATTAAAAGTTACTAGTTATGTCAAGGTTTCTTAGACTTTAAGAGCCAGTCTCCAGGTGAAAACAGTATTAGTCTTCTTCCATATGGTGTCTAACCATGGGCAAATAGAATTTTGCAGCTCCGTCAGAGGTGACTAACAATGTTTTGAGCAAGCCAGACTCTTCACTTCTCCGGCGTTTATGTTCCCAATTGAGCAGGGGAGCTAAACTGCTGGGAAAAAATGCACTTGAGCAGGGGAGAAATTCAGACCAGACAAATACTTGATTGGCTGTCCTAATAAAATTTTGTAAAATCGCCTTGGAGGAGATAATACACCCCATGGTTATAGTGAAAGAATAACTAGTTAGTGATGTGCTGCTGTTGAGCCCAGTCTTGTTTCTGTGTCAGGTTGTTCTGGTTCCCTGTTAAGCCTGGTGACAATAACCTCTTGCACGGGAGAGCCTCTGCGCCCCGGCTCTTTCGTTGCCCCGTGTCCTGTTTCTGAGTGTGCTGCACTGTGTGTGACTTATATTTGTTAAAATAATCATGTGGGAAGCAGATGTTTTAGTGTTACGTTACAGCACAAAGAGAATAATATCTACATCAGGAGTTACATATCCTGAAGGGCCAAGAGCCGGGTTAAGAATTTCATTAAGCAGCTTTTGCACTGGTGTTCGCTGTGTGTTTGATGGTAGTTATGGCAACCACTGACATAGTGTTGCCTTCTCCTATGACTTACATAAACGGCTCTAAGAAATTATTTATTTCTACTTGCAGCCACAGGCCCTTTCTTTGTCGGTGAGCATGTGTGAAACCCCCCAAAATGTGGCTGTGAGAAAGGTGCCTGTTGTAGATTGAGACTGTGGACCATATGTTTAAAAACCTTCAGGTACCTCACTCGGGTTTTCTGCAGTGCTGGCACTAGTGATTCATTCCTGTTTTGCCATTCGGCTCTGCTGTGTTAAGGTGCACATTAGTGCACCTCGGATGTGAATATTAGATCAGCCCTCTCCTTTATTATGTCTCTTTTGGGGGTTTATGTTGGGCCTTACCATGATCCACTTGGCATGACTTGACTCACCACGGAGTTCTCTCTGCTGCTTCTGGATCCTGGAGAGTGTGAGAAGTATTCTGCTCAGTTTCTAGATAACCTGGAATTAGTTTTGCCCCAGGAGGTGTTGCAAAATCGTTAGTTTTCTATAGATTTCGTAGCCTTGGACTATGAAATAGCAAGTATTGATGGCTATTGCTGCTTTGTCCCCATGTTCTCCTTCTGGCTTCGATGATTTATTTTATTCCTCTTAAGAGACACTTCCTAACAGAAGCTCATTTCAAAATAAATGGGCTTGCTGTGTTGTTTGCAAGCTATAGAAAAATACTTGCTATTTCTGTTATCATCTTTCCCTGAATAAGAGTAAGGGACCTTTTTACTATTCTAAGCTTGAGAAAACTTTCAAAAACAGTTAAAAAAGGTAACCTTTCTGACTTGCGCCTGAGAAAGTTGTTCTAATAGTGACATTGGGATGTACTTTGACCCTGTTGAACAGACAGGATCAGTTATCATACTACTGTAGCAGCTGTGATCCACTTGAGATCAGAGATAGCAGATCTGTCTGAGACTGAGTACTGTGTCCTTTAAATAATCACTCCCTTATTGACATTAACTAGATGGTGTGATTGTTCTGTAGTTTTCAAATCACCATGAATGAGCTATTTAATGTACGTTACAAGGTGCTGATTCCGGATCTGGAGGCACAGCTTGGCTAGGCTTGACGATACAGCCACACAGGGCAAAAAAAGAGTGCTCATTTGGACCTTTCTCTTAAAAAGATCATGGATGTTCCAGGAACAGGCTGGGACTGTTCCTGGCACCTGACAAGAAATTTGGCTTCTGAGCTTTGTGCCTGTGTCTGAAGAGGTCCTTGCAGTGAGGATTGTGGGCCCGGTGCAGATTCACTCTGGCAGCATTTCACAAAGCTAGGGCTAGCATGCGGTGACTGGTTCCCTCTGCCTCGCCAGCACCCAGGCGTAGAGGTTGTACGGGGCCTTGCAGCTCAGGACCCTGCGGTAATGTGCAGTGGTGCTCGCGGAGCTTCCTTGCAAAGTGCCACCGCTTTCAGGTTGCTGCGATCATTAAACCCATCTTGATGTACAACTGGCTCACAAACCTCCAGTCGTTAAGAATGCCTTTACTGGGGCCTATACCAGCCTTCAAACTAGTTGTTGTTGCAGTGTTTTCCATGTGGTTGACAGCCAAGTGATAATTTTGGTTATTGTTTTTATAGCTGTGGCTTGACTAGCAGCTGCATACTTTGTACATGCCGCAGCAGTAACGCGCAGTTGTTTGCAAGGCGTGTGGCCAAGGGCCTGTGGCCAAGGGCCTGAACCACGGGCATGCACTTGCCCCAAAT